AAGCTTCAGAGTATCCTAAATAGTAGATGGAAATATAAATGTTGAAATGAAGACTTGCTAACTTTAAACTTACATTAGGAATCTTCCAATGAAGGGAAACAATAACTTTGAGGATTTTTCTTCATTCAAGAGATTTTCAAAATACTTTTGACTCCATCTTTTTAATAAATTTGAATCTTTCGGAAATTGGCTGATAAGTGAACAAATAATCACTTTAAAGAATACTTCTGGAAGTTTCCACAAATTTCTTTCAAACTACCACAGAAGCTGAAACTGCCTGTTTCAACAACTTTTTTTTCTTATCAACCAAAAACCTCAAAGTCATCATCTTCCTCCAAAAATCCAGGTCATTTCTCATTAAAAAACACGGATCCAAGTCAATATGTTTCTAGTTTGTCCTGTTTTGAAACTTCTTCGAATTCAAGTCTTTTGAGACAAAAATCCTTCCAGAATGATCAATGAGAATTTTAGTATGTCAAAATGTATGTTTTTGAAATTCAAGCTCTCAAATGTTTAGTATGTTGGAGGCGAAGATATCCATGATTAATAGGGCACTGTTTGAGAAAGTTTTTGATTTTTGAAATGTTTTTAAAGATTTCAAATATCTATGGAATTTATAAGGAAATGATGTCTTGGAAAGCCCAGGAGAATTTTCTAATATTTTTCAGAATTCGGGACCTTCCAAAAAATCAGAGATCTCATAAAAAGTTCATAAACGAAATGCACTTTTTATTATCCATGAACCCGGAATTTCCCCTCAAAACACCAATGTCTTTGTTTTATTAGCTCCGAACAATGAATCAAAAATCAGGGAAACAAAAAATAATAATTTTCCGGAAATGTAGGTTGAAAGGAAAGTTAGGGAAAGGAATTCCGAGAAAGATTGTTGGTTTTACAAAGAGTAATAAACATGAAAATAATTAATGTGAGATTGGAAATTGGATTATTTGAAGATGGAGAGAGAATTGTAGGAGAAAAAGGAAAAAAAAGTAAAAAGGAAAAAAAAGATGGAAGAATCTTGATGATGAAAATAAAATGAACATGAAACTGAAAAAAATATAATTAGGAATGACAAAGAAATACAGTTTTCAGGGAAAAACATACAGTTTCAAGAAGTCCTAATCTAACTTGGAATGTATAGGAGAATGGATTATAATTTTCGATAATAGAAATATAAATGTTCAAAAAAATACCGCCGTACTATTTGAGATTTTTAATGTAACAAATCTTACTATTAGATCAATAATATAACTTATCAAAAGTCGTATACACAAAACAGTGATATTTTTTGAAAATTGGTCATGTTTTTTATCATTTTAAAAACTTTGGAAACGAATATTCAGTGTCGATAAAAGCGCATGAGTTTAATGGTTTGAAATCTAGAAAAAAATCAACACCAATCACTTAAAAACAAAAAAAATTGCATTTTTAATAGTGGATTCCTATGTATACGACTTGATGAAAAGTTGAAGTTTTGACAAACCTCTTTCTGACTAAAAATCCATAGAATCTAGGAGAATAAAATTTACCAATCAAAATGGCTTTTGAAAAAAAGCGAACCACAAAAATACTTGTATAAACACAGTAAAAGCGTCACAGTGTTGGATATGTAACTTCCCAATCTAATTCTTGATTATTCAGTAAGAAATCCTCGACTAATTGTGAGGTAAAAGATAACAAACTTGTTAACTGAAGAACTATTGGTGAAAGTATGGAAAACACGTTTTCAGTTGAAACATTTTGATATCTCGTATAGGACAATGTTAATTCAGCTGAAAATTAGAGTCTATAAGAGGGCATCGTCCTTCTATTGAAAACAAAGTAAGCCCTAAAGAATATGAAACACCTGGTTTCAAAAATTATTTCAATTTAGACATCAGGCGCCGAATGTCGAACCATGAGAATATTTTCTTCTGAGAATAACTCCGTCCCGTCAAAAGTTCCCGAACATTCTGTCCTTATTCCATCATCGTTTTTTCACCAGATTTGACAGCATGTACAGTTTCCGATGTCCGGTTTTTAAAATGTTCCTTTTAAAATACAAAACCGAATGCCAAACTATTACATTGTCAGTCTACAGCACACTTCATATTTTTCAACTGCACTAACTGAACTGTACGAACTTCTGTTAGTGGTTGCGATTCTATGCTTTCAGCACGTCGCAGGGTGGGCTTCTGTTAGAGGTCGGCTTCTATTAGAGAAAATACGGTATATAATACCGTATATTACAAGAAAAACTGTTTTCGTTCTGTTTCGCTGGTTCTCTATGATTCTTGATGTCCAAACAAACTTCAATTATTAGGTTGGTCAGAAAGTTTCTTCCCTTTTCGGCAAAATTTTTGATAAAGATTTCCTTAAAGCGGAAAGGGCAAGATCAATGACAGTAATGTCCATTAGCATCAATAGTTGTCTAGCAACGTTCCGGTAATTTTCCGATTTCACCGCCCTAGAACGACGAGAGCTGCGGTTGAAACAGTGTGTCAACTCCTTTTTTGTGTCATCTTTTCACTTTCCGTACAAGGACAATCAATCTCCATGACCATGGACCATCAACCAAAATCCAAAGAAGTGAAGTTTTTGTCGGTCGGTTATGCTAACTGTTTCTCTATCAAAAACAAAATATCTTTATTAGAACTCACTTTAGAGTCCCAAAAATTTGACATTTTCGCTCTAACAGAAACTAAATTACATTCTAGTTTTCCTGATTCTCTTTTATTTAAATCTAACTCTTACTCTGTTTTACGTAAAGACCGTAGTAGACATGGCGGAGGCGTAGATTTACTGGTATTTAAACAAATTAAATTTCTTCCTATCCAAATTCCCGAACGTTTTACTGCCCCGGAGGTTACAGGTATCGACGTGATCATTGGAGGGACCTTGATCAGAATTGTTGTCGTTTATCATCCCAATCATGCGAACTGCCTCGATAAGTTGGTTGAAACTCTCGAATTCATGCTACTAAAAAAATTCTTATTTGTCGGTGACTTCAATTTGCCTCATATTGACTGGGATCCCCTCACAGCCAATGACTCACAATGCAAACGCTTTCTGTCTTTTGTTATAAAAAATGGTTTGACTCAACATGTCCGTGTGCCAACGCGTTTGAACCCTGACAACGTCCTTGATCTTTGTTTCTCTAACACTTACTTCGTCCGTGAAATCAGTGTCGGAGATCTTTTCAGCGATCATAAACTGATTAGTGTGGTTTTATCTGCTAAAACTAGCTCTACAAAACTTTCCAAAACCATCCGTAACTATTACAAAGCTGACTATGATCAGATAAACTACCATCTCACCAACATTGACTGGGATCATCTTTTTTCTACACTTTCAGTGACATCTATGCGGTAATTAGATCATTCACCCAACTGAACGTGCAAAGAAATGATAGGAGAAACATGCTCATATCTACACGGCGATCCATATCCTTTTCAACGTTGGGTATGAATCGACCCCGTTTGCGACTTTGCTAAAAGACTTCAATCTTGCCACAATACTAGATTGACTAACGGGCAATGTGTTTGACATTTTACGAGTGGTTTCAAATAGATCCGCCTTCACGACTTTTAGCAATTGTTCGAGATCCGACCCACTAGGCCGTTGCCATCTTTCGAACTGAACTCCCCTGAGCAGAATTTTTCGAACCAAACCCCATTTGTAGGCGATGAAGGAATATGTCCTATGTACATCCACAAATTTCATGCGGATACCCGGTGTTTGAAGACCTAATAAAAATAAAAATATAATCATGTTGCGAATGTGGAGTCGGATAAGGACCAAGAGAATCGTCATTTCCAAAATGGAGTCAGATAAAAATCTGAAAATCTACGATCTAGTAGACACTGTTAACAGCTCTTCAACAAAAAAATCTGACCTGGTACACCACTTGGAGAACCAGATACCGAAGCTCAAAAACAACCTTGCCAAAAAGGAAAAAATTTTCTTATCAACCTAATAGCTTTAGCTATAATTTAATTGGAACAATCTAGAGTTTTAAGGAAAATCGAAATATTATGTACCACTTTTCAGTACTTCAAAGTTGACTCCATTTTTTGAAAAAAAATATATTGCAGCTTATAATACCCATTGTAGTTAAAAATCTGGTAGAATTTAATAAAGCCTCATGAAACCGGTATAAGTTTTCAAAAAGTTGGAAAAAATTGTTGATATATCAGTAGAAAAAACACTTCGTGATGTTTCACAAATAAAATGAACTCTATGGAAGTGAGAATTAGAATTAAAAAACGAAGTTCATCAATTTCGAAAAGTGCTCCATCATAATTTACTCTTCTTTTCAGACACATCATCTTCTTCATTTTTCCTCTTCTCGTATGTCCTATCTGTTCAAATTTCATCTTCTCTCTCCGTTTTTCTCTCCGGAAGTCCCAGTATTGAAGTTGAAATTCGTATTGAAGTTGAAATTCCAGATAACACTTGGCAAAGTTTGATGGATTATGAGAATGGAAACAAATGAGAGAACATTGAATTTGGATTTCTGAAACATTGATTTTCAGAATGTACGTTCATTTTCAGAATCAATGACAACCGGTAATGATAAGAAAGATAACAAAAAAAGGGGGGGGGGGGAGAAAAGACACCAGAAACAGATAAAAGAAGACGAAGTTAACAGTTCAAACTCAGAAGGTAGTAGGAAGAGTAACATGGGTAGTGAAGGCGTTCCATGAAGGAACAGTTGAGAAGAAATAATTAGAGAAATAGGAATCGGCTAAAACATAAAACAGCTGATTTCCTCTTGCAAAATGAAGTTTGATTTTTTTCTATTTTTTAGCTCTTTGTGTTCAGAATGGTTTTTGTCGTGGAGCAGTGCTTCCATGATCTCCATGATCAGAGCAAAGGAAACGAAGATTCCAAACTCATATGTTATTTTGAAGAACGTCACAGAAGGCAGGCCAACAAATAACCTTGCAGAGTTTGGAGCACCATCGATAAAAAAGTTAAAAAGTAATCGATAAAAAATTAATCGTCGGTTAAGTTTCATTCTAGTGTTGTTTCTCCTCGTTTTTCGGTGGGGAGACGTCGACTGGATAGGCACACGTGGCAAGGTATTCGGTGAGACGTTGTTGGGCTTTTTGGAGTTGGGCGAGTTGCTCGAAAACTTGTTGAACACGGTCCGATGGGCACAATGGTTCTTCTGGGGTTACCACTGGACTGAAATTATGGAAAAGTTGATGAGAGAGGGTTTTGAAACAGTAAATTTCGAAAACTCATTTTTTGTTGATCTCCGAATTTTTTTTCCAATCAAAAAACAGCTAGACATCTCCATGATGACGTTCATCTTTTGTGCAGAATCTACATTCATATCTTTCCCCCTTATTCACGATTGTAAGACACTAGTTCTTACTCCAAAAACGCTCTTTTTAATGAGAATGCATTATTTCTTCCCTAAGAATAAAAAAGAGGCTCTCCTCCTCCCCAAGACTCTAAAAATGGCCAGTAATTCCGATTCAAAATGTATCTTGAATTGATATTTCTTTGATGATCAAAGTGCATGTACATAGACATACTTCATACTGCGTTTGATATAATATTCATTTGAATACATTGTAAATTTTTGAATGGGAAACGAAATGTTGAATAGAGAGGGAGCACAAAAGAACATCAAATCAAACAATTTGTTTTTGAGAAGAATTCAAAGATTTTTGATTCGAGGAAGCAAAAATAATAATAACAGTCGGGTCCTTTCAGATGGGAAACAGTGTCTAGAGATCAGTGAGCAATACAGGGTGCGGCAAAAGTATTGATACAAAAATTAGACGCCATAACTCCTCAATAAATAGTCTAATCCGGGTCAAATTTTAACAGGACTTTATCAATAAGATTTGTAACAAAATTGAATTACAGTTATTTGTTTCTGGCAGCTCTGTTTCTAATGTCGGGACTCAACTTCTTCGGATTGCGTTCATGCTGGCACGGGGGTGGTCTGCCTGCAAACGGTCCCATTCCGTGGAAGGAGTTTTTTTGAGAGCATCCAAAATAGTGTTAAAACAAATTTGAACACATGCCTAAAGAATTCCTTGCACCAAAATCTCAATCGATTTGTGATCTGACTCAATACAGGTCATTCTCTTTCGGGGATCAAATTGCAGAAATTAACTTGGTACTCCTGCTGAACATGTTTTGCCGTCTGATCAGGCGCTATGTATTTTTGGGATGTCTAAATTTGCTATTCAAAGTTAGATTATGATTCAGGCAGTATGATTTTCACTAGAAGTAGTATTATTAGTACATTTAAAGACCAGGCTCCACCAAAAACAGTTATTTTTTCCATTTGAAGTGATTCCTCCAAAAGTCATGGTTTGCTGAAGATTGGCTGCTCAGAGAATCAACAGACCATTACTGTTAGATAGCCAAGGACATTGTGCCTATACATACCAATTTTTAGAATTGAGTTTTGCCTCTTAGCTGAACAGTGTCTTATCAATGAACGCGGTGGTCAAGCGCGTGCCAGAAGTTCAGGAAAAACATCAAAGAAGGTGTACAGAAAGTAGTGCCATCTTCGTAAAATTTGAGATAAGAACATGAAACTTTGCACATCTACCAATTAAGAGACGGGGAAAATATGAACACAAAATCAAAGCACGAAAAGTGCTTCAGCGCGCGCCAGCTTGCGATTAATCTTTGTATCAATACTTTTGCCGCTCCCTGTATTTAACAAAAAAAAGGTGGATCATTCCAGAAAACTCGGTCTTAGAATTTCAGCAAAATGTGTCAAAGGTAGGGAAAGAGATCAAAAAGTATTTCTGTTTCAACCAAACCGTATTTCTAAAAGTATTTTTATCTTGAAAAAAATAAGAAAAATTTTAACAAAAAATTCACTTTTTGGAAAATTTTGGATTTTGGAAGTTTTTTAAAAAAATCTGGAAAAAATAGAAAACGATCATTAATGTGAAACATAACAATTTTAACATAATCAAAGTGACTTTGGCCAACTGTTAAGCAAATAATACCTCATTAAGATACAATAATGTGTATGGTATGGTTGTTCAAAGTGTCAACTAGAGATTTCCGGCTTCTGGGCTCGTTCTACCATCGTTCCACTATTTCAAATTTTCAATATTTAACTGTTTTTATGTTTTTATCATTTCCAGGTGTTATTCTACAATATCTGATCATTTTCCACTTGAAAAGGAGTTTCTTCAAGCTCCAAACCCTGACTTTACCAAAGTCGGTTGAGGGAATTTGGTTTTTCTTCTTATATCAGATATCAGAGGCCATATTCATGAACATTTTTTTTTTACTAATCTCGATTTAGTTTTACAGTCAATTCTATGAATTTTTATATTCTAAAAAAGATGTATGTTGATAGAATAGTATATTAAGTGCATTCTAATTTTAAACCCAAAAATCGCTGCTCTTTAAATTAAGAATTACGTTTTTTACACAAATGTCATGAATGGATAGAGCTGAGAATACTAAGTGCTGTGACCAAATATAAGAAATTTTCAGCCCGTAGATTTTGAGAAAATTTAGTCCAAAAGTCATTTTCCGACCCTGCAAGTCGGAAAATCATTTGAATAATGCTCAGTACATTTTCACGCTTCCATTTTCCTTTTGGAAAATGATTCAGTTGATTTTGAAAGGAAAATGTTCATGAGTAAGGCCTCAGTATCACAGTTTAGTGGTATCCTGGAAAACATGATTACCTTTTGCGGAATACCCATAGAAACGCGAAAACACATTTCGAAATGGATTTTTTTCCAGTTAAATGATGATCAAACAGATTACTGATTTTGTTTCTGTCCCCGACTGTTCCATTCATCAACTTTAACAATATATTTGTACGAAGAAGTTGTTGTAATCGTTTGAGGACAATTAACATGAGATTCCATCACTTTGAAGAAAAATTATCAATCTGACCCAACACAGGAATTTTCAAATTTGGACTCCAATAAACGAAAGACAAGAGCCAGGAACTAGCTTTCCACAAAAGGTAAGCATGTTTTCCAGAATGCCACTAAACTGTAGTATTTATATCTTTCGAGAAATATACGAAAATCCTTCAACCGACTCTGCTTGAATGGCTAGAAGTGAACCTTATGCGGGTTTTAGCTTGTCTCACAATTTGTAAAGTCAGGGTTTGGAGCTTGAAAAAACACTTTTTCAAGTGAAAAATGATCAGATATTGTAGAATAACACCTGGAAAATGATAAAAACATAAAAACAGCTAAATATTAAAAATTTGAAATAGTGGAACGATGGTAGAACGAGCCCAGAAGCCGGTAATCTCTAGTTGACACATAGAACAATCATACCATACACATTATTGCATTTTAATGAGTTATTATTTGCTTAAAAGTTGGCCAAAGTCACTTTGATTATGTTAAAAACGTTATGTTTCACATTAATGATCTTTTCTATTTTTTCCAGATTTTTTAAAAAAACTTCCAATATCCAAAATTTTCCAAAAAGTGAATTTTTTGTTAAAATTTTTCTTATTTTTTTCAAGATAAAAATACTTTTGCATTATTTTTATCGGGCGATGTGCTACATTTCACAAAAAAGTTTGACTCATCAGCTCTATTTTGAAGAAAGTTATGCTCGAAAAACAAAAAGTGGACAACCTTTCGCACGGTACTGTACATCGCAATTTAAGCACAAAGATACTAACTTTTCTGTTTCATAGCTTCCAGAACAGTATGAAGTTGTAAAAAAACTAATGAACGGTATCACTTCTAATCTATCAGGTCTAGTATCATTCTAATGTGTCCCTTTTTACGATGTTTTGGTTTTTCGATTTTTTTAAATTTGACAAAATTTTCTGTTTCGTGATGCTAATAAGGGAATTGGAAAGTTCACAAAATCAGTGGATCAAGGAAAAAAATTTGTGAAAAATACTTTCATGTTTTGATATTTCTTGATATAATTTCTGATTTCCCGAAAATGTATTTCTTGAGCTCCTAGAATATAAAAAGCATAATGATACGAAATTTACCGTTTCAAAGTTTCTATGTTATTTGTGGAACCAGTAATCCTAGGTTATTATACAGGTCATGGTTATCTAATAGTGAGAAACTCACAATTGCTGTTTGTGAAGCGTGGCACGCTTCTTGGTCCACTGATCGGTGAATGTCATCTGCCCGACGGAGAGACCGAGAAGAGCCACGAAGCAGAGTACGACATACAGTTGCATGCTTCTGGAAGTTTCTTTTTAGAATAAGAAAAAGATTAAAGGAATCGAAAAAAAGGAAACGATTAAAAACAAAGAATGAAAACCAAAAGATTTTATGAATTATCATTAAAAAGCAATCGTAACAACTTCCAACTTTGAAGAAAGGCTTCTGATTAGTCAGAATCGGATTGTGACAATTTCTGTTGTGTTTTGGCTTTATCTTATTAATTTTTAATAAGCAGATATCGGAAATTCAGAAAAATTATTGCGAAACTGGACCTAAACAGTTTAGGCTTAAAACTCCGGAAGCAGAGAGACGAATCAACTTCAGTGGTTTGAAGAGGGGTTTCATGCCATATGTAAAACAGTAAAATTGACAGATGTTTAGAAAAAAGGAGGGTTGTGAGAAGGCTATGCCATTGACTTTACTGAAGCTATTTGAAGCTGTGAATTATTTTGATGAATTTGTTCGAGACTGTAAAAAATTAGAAAGCTTGACCGGAACAGATTAAAAAATCTTTCAATTAAATTCCAAGTGTTCAATATAAGTATTATTATTGTTTTCCGGAAAAATTAGAGTTGAGACGCAGACAGTTGAACAACTTTACTCGAAAACTGAAACAGTTTTTTTTCTAAATGTTTTAGATCCAACTCCCTTAAATTCTTATCTAACCTCACATTTCCAGAATACATGCATTCGAAAAATGTCGATGCATTTCTAATCCCATTCGTTACCAAAGGGATTAGAATGGTATGTGATATATAACTTTTTGAATCTAGATAAATCCATAAGGATTAGTTTGATAAAGGCCTTCGTTTCTTGGAATTCCAGAAAGAAGCTAGGCGGTGGTGGCAATTAGTGAGAGCCTAATCCATTGCTCATATGACCAGGAGTGTTTATGAGAAATAAATGGAATACGAAATCTTAAACTCTTGGACTAGGATTCTGAATGAATAGACAGGGAAAGGGAAATGAATTCTGATTGAAATTTTCTTATTTTCTCACGCCCGCTCACAGAATTCAGAACACAAAACTCGGTTGGAATAAGTTATGAAATAAAGAGGTCTGTCGAAGTACAAAAAAGTTTAGAGATTTAATTTTCGGTTTCATTCACAAATTATTCTTTTTCGAAAATAATGCAACAAGCAGTAAAAAGTTACTTTAATTTTTAAAAATGTTTTGCCTCTTCCTCTATATTATTTGAATTATGGATTTGGCCATAATGTATGAATTTATTCTTACTAATTACTTATAATTAGGATCAATTGTGATTATTATCATGCGAGCCACAAATTAGATGTTCTCCTAACTAATTATCAACTTGTTAAAATAGTGGTTGCCACTAAATCAGATGACCATATTCCTAGAAAATGATCTGAATTGAAAGATCCAATGGATCATGAGAGCCAAAAAAGCAGCTCCACGAAATGAGTCAGCTGAAAAGAAAGTGTACAGGTGAAAAAAGGATGTCTCCGGTCGTCGAAAGAAAGCAGACTGAAGAAGAAGAAAACGACGGAAAGCGGAGGAGAAGAACATGGGCGGAGTCTGTTTGGAAAAGAAGAAGAGGGCGTGGCTTGTAGAGGGCAGGTGAGCATTTCTCTGCATCTCTCGCTAGGGGGCTTCTTTTGATAAAGAATGTATAGATATGAATCAAGTGGTAATTGGTACGGGATGCTGTTTGGGGGATTGTTGAGACGACGAGTCATAGTAAACAGAATTATGAGGGACTTGGGATTCCGTCACGTTAGGAAAGAGAATGCAGTAGCGGAAAAAACAGGTGAACAATTCATTTAATGGAATTTGTTTTTTAATGGAATTTGTTAATTTAATGGAACTTGTTTGTCTCGAGATTTTTAGAAAACACAAAATTTCGGACCAAAAGTCTCAAAAATATTCATATTTTCCCAAAAAAAAACTTTTCTAGCGTTTTCCAACAGCGTATCATAGGAGTCGCAATAGTAATCCGGTGATTTCGTCTTTTTGAAGTTATTCTGTGTATGAATCCAATAATTACTGATTCCATGTGATGATTAAGTTTACACTGCGAAACAGTGATGATCGGTATATCCCGAGCAAAACTACATTTAAATATTTCAAATTTTCGGAAACTTCATCAAAATTGGCCATTTTTTCCCGCTTGTGTAATATAAAAGTGGGATTCCGAAATTCCAAAAAATCTCGAAAAAGTCATTTCGAACCAATCGGGTGCGCCCGCGATAAAGATATTAGGCTAATTTTTTTCAAAGTTTCAATTGTTCTACAAAAAGACGAAATCACCGGATTAATATTGCGACTCCTATGATACGCTGTTGGAAAACGCTAGAAAAGTTTTTTTTTTGGGAAAATATGAATATTTTTGAGACTTTTGGTCCGAAATTTTGTGTTTTCTTAGAATCTCGAGACAAACGAATTCCATTAAAATTTCCAAAAATTCCGGTTTCAGGTTTCTTACGAAAAACTCGAAAGATCATAAATAACCAATATAATTATTCTGAAATCCAATTCAAGAAATATATGTACTCTTGATGTTTCAATGTGTTACTTCCTATGCGAATATCATTTGAACTTCCAATTCGAACTTTTCCAGTTCATTCTATTGCTGGAATTATCTCTGATTTGAATCATATTAACTCATCCACTTTATTTTTCAATGTTTAAAACTTCCCAATAAGTCTTCTTTGTGACGTCGTACTATTAATTTCACAACTCCTACGTTTTGTTTGCTCAATTTCTAACCTAAATCTCTTTGATACAAATTTTATACTCTCGAGAATCTTTGGAATACAATCAAATCGACATTTGGAATCAGATTTTCAGAGATTTGCAAAACGATAAACATTTATTTTTTCTTTTTTCTTCCAGATCACTGAAACACATTTCTACAGCAGGATGAAAAAAAAATGGGAAAATGAGATTATCAGAAAAAAGGGGGGAAATATTCTAAAGGGAGAAGATTAATGGAAGATGTTAAGGGGAAATAGATGAATTGAGCATATTCTGATATGAGAATCTAAATTTAAATATCCCTTATTTCTGATATCATCTCTCTTTTTTCTCTGGACTACTTGTTTGCAAATTTCCAGAACATTCCATAGAAAGTTCAGTCATTGAGAATTTTCAATTCCTCGTGCAGAAAACGCGAAAATTTTATTAAGAATATATAGTAAAAAAATGAATCAGATTTTTTTGTCCGTTGTACTTTAAAACGTCGCAGACTGTTTCGCATTCGGTAGTGATAAACTCACCGTGCTCAGTGATTTCTCACATTCGCTGGGGCGCGTTTTCCGAGCAGGCTGTTTGAAATAGCGTGTGCTTCAGATCTTTTGAATAGAAAAACTGGAAAAAAAACATCCTTCACGTGAAGGAGATTTACTCTGGAATTTAAAATGAGTGAGTGAGAGAGCTACGTAGACTTTGCAAGGTTTTTGAGGAATAAAAAAGAGTGATGACTGATGGGTTTTTGGGAGGAAATTTGGAAGAAGAGATGTTCAGGGTTTTAAAGAATGGATTCGAAGGATCAAAAATTTTCAGATAAGAGAAGCAAACAAATCGTGCAGTGGAACAAAACGTCACGGATTCAGAATTTCGTTAAAAGTGAAAGACAATTTGCTGGAACCTCAAAGTCTTCTTCAAAATCTGCTCGTATAAAGTATCGAATTGTGCAAACAGCATCAGGACAAACTGAATCAAAAGAGAATCAGTTTGACTTTTTTCAACACAACTTTTGAAAATTTTACTTCTTCTAATTATTCTGATAATTGCATAGTTGCAAAAGGCCGGGCCGGGCGGGGCCGGAAGACGAATTTTCTCGGGCCGGCCCGCCTACCACAGTTGAAAATTTTTCAATGAAAACTTGGGTAATTTTTTTGAATTAAAAAAGAAAAAAGGTTACATTATTTAACAAAATTACAAAGTAAAAAGTAGTCTAAAAATAGGTCGTTTTTGTTTAAATTTTTGAAAAAATTTCAAAAATTTCGAAAAAAATTCAAAAAAAAAATCAACGTCTGTACGTACCCCTGCCCGCCAAAATTCTCGACGGGCCGACCCACGGGCTGGGCCGGCCCGAGATTTTGCAACTATGGATAATTAGAAGAAATCAGTTTATTTAATTTGTCGACGTAACGAATTTCGTAAACTCCTCCGCTTACCCATCCTGGATTTTTTATCTTATTTTCTTGCAAAATTGTCATTTCACAAGAAGTCTCTGCTACAAGATATATCTAGAAGAAGTCTCTGCTACAAGATATATCTAGAAGAGGGGTCTTGAGGAACGGAATTCCAAAAAAAATCTTGAAAAAAATAAAAAGAAATGATTTCAGTAGATTTTCAAAAATTCGATGGTTGATTCCGAAAATTCTGAGAGTCCGAATATGTTTTTTTTTTGAAATTCCAATATTCCGAAAACTGTGATTCAGTGCGTTTTACTTTTAAATTTCAAAAAAAACTTCATTCCGCACACTCGTTCTAGAAATTATTTGAATATAGAGCGTGTTTGCTTTGCGTTTGAGTTTTTGGTTGTTTCCGGTTGTCGCATTCTGACTTCCATTTTCCAGAAAAAAGTCCTTCCGGATATCTCTGGCATACAGTTGCCTTTCCATTGATAAATGTAGCGCTTTTTAATAGTTTTCAGCCAAACGCAGACGAGACACCAATTTTTTGGAAAGACGACCCAAATGTCGTCAAGGTGAAACCGAATAATTTTCCTTTTTTTCCCATTTTTCAAGAAATCTTTGAGCTTTGTGTTTTTCTCTATCCTTCAACTTCCGAACTTCTCACTAATGATGTTAGTCATATTCTCTTTTGAATGTGACGTGTGAACGTCTTCCAACACAGACAATGTCCATTTTTTTGTACTATCAAAAACCTAAGCTAAAAAGAAGTTAGTTCTTTTCTCAAACAAAGGAAAATGACTAACTTAAGAGAACGAACGTTATTGGGATGTCTGGATCCTTATTTTCATTGTTTAGAACTTTTTAAGGAAATCATGACGAGAGACGGGGATGAACAGGAACTTGATTAG